TGGGACTAGTCTGGTATTAAGTGATGTGTTGAATTTAATACATAAAACCATCGAGTTCTCTTATTTTTTTTATCTCAGAGCCACTTTTATTCTGCTCACTTGTGAAGGGTGATAGCTTCTTTTACCTCTGTGCTCACAAAATACTTTCTCTCCCCTTCTTCAGCTCTCCCCACACTACAGATACACAACGGGCACACACATTGTCATAGGGAGTGGAAATGCAGAAAAAGAACTTGAATATCTCTCTAGTTGAAATATCGATGCACTCTCCAACCTGTCTGATTGCCAAAGGCCAAAACTATTTGTATTATTATGAACAACCACGATCCATTGCTTCCCACTGAGCTGACTTGAGTATCTTTTCACACATATTTGAGTCAAAGCAATAGTCAGCTATGGGGCCAAGGAAGCATATTCTTTATCACCTGCATATCTCAATTCTTTCCTAGCTGAAGAAGTTTCTAGCAACTAAATTCTCTTGTCCTCTATCCATACTGCCATGTGGTTATGTCAACACTACCTCTGTATCAGTATCAGATTTTGTTCTGAGTTCCACAAGTGAAATGGTGTTGAGCGGTTTCCACTGTAAGGTTTAGAGCCTTGTTCTAGGTAAGTCTCCAGCTGTTCCCAGTTTCTCTTTCTTAAGGAAATACCTGGTTTATTCTGGTACAGATGCTGCCTGTGAATTAATCTCTGTGGAATATAGGAAATCATGGGCTGGTTCTCTGCTCTACAATACTGAACCAAAGCCCATTTAAGCACAAAATTTGTCATTTGGACAGATTTATTGAGCTAAGTTTGGTTTTCTCCAACAGACTTCTAAGAGTCTGGGATGTACAGGAGCTTTGATTACACTATCTTATATTTCATGGAATCATGGAATTGTTCCTATTCTGCTGCAAAGGGCAGGGACACCTTCCACCAGAACAGGTTGCTCCAAGCCCCATCCAACCTGGCCTTGAACGCTTCCAGGGATAGGGCAGCCACAGTTTCTCTGGGCAACCTGTGCCAGGGCTTCACCACCCTCACACTAAAGAATTTCTTCCTGATATCTAATCTAAATCTACCCTCCTTCATTTTGAAGCCATTCTCCCTTGTCCTATCACCTCATGCCCTTATATAAAGTCCCTCTCCAGCCTTCTTGTAGGCCCCCCTCATTTCCTTCTGAACTGCATTTCTCTGACTCTTTCCATGTAGTCTGTGAATACGTGATGTATTTCAGTTTTCAGTATTATCAATTTGACATTTCCATGAATGCTTCAGTTTAAACATGGTTATGAGCAGCAAGGTGCTGGCATGATTCCAGGGATCTGAGGAGAAGTCTGCCTGATAATTTTCCCCTCAGAGGTACTGAAAAATATCCTTATCTTTTCATTGGTAAACACCTGCACGCTTCTGTATAGTCATGTATTTTCACCAGAGTCTTCATTTGGGAGCTTTGGCTGTCAAACAAAACATATTTCTGCAAAGGGAAGGGATTTTGTGGGAATAGCTAAATCTATCCTGCAGAGCTGCACCTTGACACATAAGATGACTTAGATTGTCAAATAAATGGTTTTGATGATGTACAGTTTGAAACTCCTTTCAGAAATGTAATTCATTTAGTCAAAACCTTTAATCCATCCCAGTGACAAAAATCCCTCTTTACTCTGTTGTTTAGGACCTATTTTCACCCCTCCCCACAAACTTCTGTGGGGTGGAGGGCAGGAAAAGAGACTGCCTAAGTTTTACTAGAAACATGATGAGTGTGTGCAAAGAGTATTTGTGTGAATCAGAAATGGGTCATCTGCTTTGCTTTGCCCCAAGACCTACAGATGATGTTTTAAGGAATTCTTACTTGCTGAAGCTTTCAATACTTTTCAAATTTGTTTTTGCTCCTCACTGCAGCGAAGACAATCCTCTGAGCAGTATTCACTATTTTGAAGTATTTAAGTTTCAACAGAGCAATATGTTTTACCTACATTTAATCACCTTGAAGATATTATTTCGATTTTAAGCTAATTATGCCTGTCCATGACATTTCATAAGAATATAAGGGAAAAGACCCAACTGATTGCCTTCAAAGGTAATAGGAATTAGTTGCCTAGAAACTATGCACATCTTTAAAACTTCTGTAGTGTTAAGGATGCTAACAATGCCTCAGCTAAATCCATTGTTTTATGTATGAAAAAAGTAGAGTTTGAAAAGGTGATTTTGATGGCAGAAGTGTAGGAATATGCTCTCATGGCATGAGCAAGCACTAGAACACTTAGAAAGACTTGGGATTAGGATCTGGAGTGATAGTTGTCTGACTGTGATTTCATAGCCATTGCCTTGAGGTGGGAATATTTATATCACTCTGGGATGCAGGAGAGCATATTGTGCTGGAACAGTATTGCCAATAAACTTGGATTGTACAGACTGAGGCTCAGTAATCCCTTTTCATTTCTCTGTATTACCTTACACAAAGTTTAGCAAAGCAGATCTGTATGGTGGCCACTACTTGTCACAGGTTCTAAGGTAACCCTAGGGAAGGTCAAAAGTCCTGCTGAAGATAAGGTGCTAACAGTTAATAGCACAAAAGCACATCTTCTGGAGCTCAAATATTATATGAAATATTATGCTTTGCCCAACTTAGACACGTGCTCTACTGTACTGTGATGGAATAGCTAGTCTTAAACAAGATAGCATAAAACAAGCTTCATATAGAGGTACTAACACACCTGATGCCCTTAACTCTTTGAATTCACAGCAACATAATATTTTTAGAAGGAATAATTTTATTTATTATGTAAAGAAATACATGCACATATCTGACTAAGCCCTGCTTCTTCAGTTCCATGAGTTAGGGCAATGCTAAGCATCCTGTTTAGTCTTTTCAGTGTTTAGAGGTTATGACTTTAGTCAAGAGAAGGTATTTTCCCTGGTCTAGTATTAGATAACACTGGCAGTTGGGAAGGGCTATTTACTTTCCTTAAAAATATTCATCAGAACTGCCAGTTATCAAATGAATCTGTCACTGCAATTAAGTTCTCACCTTTTAAGACAAATGACATCCCTGAAGTGGAATTAAGGTTGGGAAGCAATGATATGAAGAAATTAAGTTTCTTCTCCTTGCTCACATGGGCAATCTGTGGAAGGTCTCAGTAGCAGTTTAAGATCTGCTGGGATTTGGTGGAGAGCTTTGAACAGTAACCTTCCATTTTAAAATTCACTGCAGTACAAGCCCTGTATATCACACATAAATTCGTACAGCTGTTGCATTCAGATCAGGGTTTGCCTGGCCCCTGCTTTAAATGGGCACTGCTCATCCAGCATTTTTTTCAGCTGTTCCTCTAACAGGGTACTCATGATGAGAGTGAAATCTTCACTTTATTTTGTGGAACAAATAAGTGGAACTGCACAAATGTTAGGTATCCTCCTACTTACCTGCTGTTTCTTTCTTTTTACCATTAAAGAAAAAATAGGCAACGACATCTGAGTCTGACAAGCTCCATTTTAAATAGTCTACTGACCTAGAAAGATATGGAAAATTATTCAATTAAGGACATACTTTATTGTCGACTCTTGAAGTAGTTGCATTAAAAGCAATCTGTGTGAAAAATAATGAAAGTAAATCGATATCTAGAAAAACTATTTCAACAAGCAAAGATAAATGGTTTTCTAGCACAGTTTGGGCTGAGATGCTGACATATTTATATTTATATTCAGTGATGTCTAAAAAAGGGCTCTGAAATAAACATTGGGAAAGTAATTACCTGAGATTTGACACTTTAAAACTAGTGGTCAAAATTAGTATTCTAAAGCCATGAAGCCGAAATGTATGTGACTGAATAGCTGGTCTTATTGGAACATAATGATTTATCACCTTATGCAAGGTGTAGAAGTAAATTCAAAAGGTGTATGACAAAATCTCATATGACAAAAAATAGAATTTTATTAGATTCTTTTCGCATTGTAACATTTAATATGCAGAAATTGGACACTAAAATTAGTTAGAAAATAGTGTTTTAAATCAGATTATGCAGGCTGCTAATAATCCCCGTCCCCACCAAATAACTGGACAAGCCAGGTGTGGCATTGTTATTCCCTAAGTTAATGAGCTTTTCAGAAACCTCACATTAGGCTTTACTGTTATTATTATTATGGACAAAAGTTTTTAAACACTTTAGGCTAGTTGTCATTTATGAATGCCTCAGAAAATAAAACTACTCACAGGTTAAGTGGGTTTTGAACATGTTTACTTCTTTATACACAAAGATAACCCTTTTCAGTTAAATTATTAAGTGAATGTAGAACAAATACCACTTACAATGACAAAATAAATTACACTTCAACCTAGGAATATTTACTTCACCAGAAATGTTTTTATCCAAAGAATTCGGAGGGGAAAAAGCCTACAGAGTGTTCAGGTGCTGATACATGTCATGATGGTCTTCTTTCCAATCCCAGAGCTGAAGAGTTAGTCAACACTCTATTTCTGCATTCATGTTTTATAGTTTTACTTGATGTCACAAGGGGAGGGCAACTGGAGACAAATAGATAGGATACATCAATCATTAGATAGATTAAAAAAAAAAGCAAGAAAGCTGAAAGAGAAAGTACGTAATTTTAGAGAACTTTGTCAGACAACGTACAGTGGGTCCCTCCTCTGACAAATCACCTGGTCATGGGAAATATTGAGTAGAAATTCCTCCTGTACTTCACAGAAGAGTAGGTGATGGGGATAATGGTATGTACAGTCCCATTGCCATCCTCTAGTGATTGCAGGCACTGGGCTGGGAGACCTTGTAAAACCCCTGAGAGAGGTTTATAACCAGAGCCACTGCGAAGTAGAGACTGGGGAAAGAGAAGCACTTACTACCCTGATCACTGATCTATGGCCCTCCCTGCAGGCACGCTCCCTTCCCTAAATGCTGATGAAAAGAGGAGAGAACACTGTAGGAGACCATCATACAACAGTTAATTTTGAAAAGTGACATTTCTGTGGCAAGAAATAAGCAACTGAGATTCTACATGCAGGCAGAAACCACCAGCTAACTGGGGAAACAGAGGAGCTGAAACAAAAGCTTTTCTGACCTTGAGGGCAGCTCTGCAGAGAAGCAATCTGGAGAGAGGTAACTTCTACCCCTATTAGGCCTGCAAAGCTTATGGAATACCTCCTTCACATTCCCTTCAATTACTCCAAAACATTTAAAAAGAAGAGTTTAATTTCTTTGACACATTCTGCTTCAGTTTCTGGCACGACAAGTTGTTTCTCACTGAAGCTCTCTATAAAATACTATTGATTTTGGCAGAATGGCTAAAATGAGCTACTGCCTGCTTCTTGTCATCTTCCATAGACAATGGAAGACAACTATGGACAATGTCCAATCTGCTTTGGAATCACAAGGGTTTCACTGGCAATTTCAAATAAAGGGCAATACATATTTCAGGGTTTAGGTCCAATTTTGTTTTGTCAAAGGATACAACTATTCTCTTTTGTCACTTTGAATCAGATGACCCATCCTGCCTTGCCATTTTCAGCTTCTTTAGTGAATTATCGCTGGTGTCATCTTTTAACATTGTTCTATAAGTAAATAGACTTTGTACCCAGGAGATGTGTGTCCCATATCTGAAGAGCAGAGGAGAACTCATTGTTCACCAGCTCATAAAATTCTTTTGTCTTTTGTAGCACAAATACAGATAAAAAATGACTGCCTACTCTTTCCTATGTTTTAGTTTTTGAGGTCCTTTCAGTGATGAAGTGTTTTTTGTGAGAACATCAAAATGAAATATCATGCAGGAACAGAGAACAGAAATATATCACTTTGCTGACAACTTTGTGTAAATTTGTGAAAGTCACAAACAATGGAATCTGAGTATGATTCTCTTTTCCTGATGGGCATTTCTTGTATTTGATTATATCTTTACAAGATGTCTTTTATTTTATAACTGAAAAAAAATGAGAAAGATTTTGCAGACAAATACTTTGCACAAGACTGAGTGTGCTCTTCAGCAGAGGCTTGCTGTGGGTTCCCAGAGATGGGAGTTGTCTCCTCTGTAGAATGACAGATTTGACATCATGATAGAGACACAGGCATTGGAGAGAGACAAGGCAGAGAATGAGGGCAGGATCATCTTCTCAGGTTTGTACCCTGTAAGAAGCCAACTTGTTATGTCATCTATCCCTGAATATAAGAATGGAAGAACATCCTAACTGTGGGGGTGGTGAGGCCCTGGCACAGGTTGTCCAGAGAAGCTGTGGCTGCCCCATCCCTGGAATTGTCCAAGGCCAGGTTGGAGCAACCTGTTCTAGTGGGAGGTGTCCCTGTGGGAGCCCAAACCCAGCGTTCAGCAAAAGGAAAACAAGGGCTGACAAAAATCTCGTGATCTGAAGGAGCTGGACCCTTCTCACAAGACCTGTTAAAGTTCTACCTTATGGATCAAGCCTGGCTCCAGCAGAAATCAGAAAGGACTTTTTGAGATGATTGTTAAAACCATGTCTAAACCCCTGTGATCCCTCTATCCCCCATGTAATCCTACTAGGAGAAAAATGAACTATTTGGAAACTGCAGTAAAAATTTGTGCAACTCCCCAGTTAACATAGGTTGTCCCCTTCATTAACATGTCCAGCCCCAGATGCCTTTAAATTGTGTTCTCGTGTTCAATAAAGTATTCCAGTTTCCCCATACTGGAATCGTGTCTAGGTTTTATTTTTCAGACCACCACTTGTCCTTGCCCATGTCTGGGGGTGGGACTGGATGGTCTTTAAGGTCCTTTCCAACCCAACCCATTCTATGATGATTCTATGTTTCCATGGTGATCATGGCTCTTTGGTATGAGCCAGTTGTAATACAGTGAGAAAATATTGGGTTTTTTGACTTTCAGTCTTTAGTTCAAATTTTGAGTGCTCAGCTGGGTGTCTCACATTCCCAGTTTTTGGAAAAGACTCTGGGGTTTTTGATAGGAACGTGTGAATAAAAATGATGGCAGCAGGAATGAACCAAGCATAGCCATTAGTGAACAGATGAGACCTGAAGTCCAGGCAGTCTTAACCTAAATGAAGGACTCTCTAAGCACAGTGGGAAAGCTTGGTCTGCAAATTTTATAACTGTTAGATACACTTAAGATCACATTTATCCCTTGTCTTAATTCTGATTTTGCAGCTCACTTACTTCACAGGCAGTCAAGTAATTTGGAAAGTATTTATCAGCCTCGACATGAGCTGGGGAACATCTCACTGGGGAGAGATGATGGTGGCCTGTCCTCCTGGCAGTCTCTGGCTGAACCATCATCTGTGAAGTGTAACCAACCATACTTTTACTGAGTAGATGCAAAAAGTGGCATTTGTGTATTACTGAACAAAGTCTCTGCTTTCATAACTCTCATTATGATTTGATTTATTGATGAGTACATGGCAGTGTTTTCCAAGGACATCACAGAAAAGTTTGCAGGAGCCACATCAGCACTAGTGTTTAACAGGGCACAAACCACAATGCAATAGAGATGCTCCAGTGACAATAGTCTTTAGCTTTCTTTAGGGCAATATCATAAGCAATGGTTTCTGAGATCAGACTGAGTAGGAAAAGCTCTTTTTTTTTTTTAGGAGTTCTTTTTTTGGGGTCACATTGTGATTTATTCTTTTTAATTTCCAACATACTATGAAAATGTTGTATATTGTAGCACATCTGCAGCCATTTAGGACTTTATAGCTGCAGTTACTTTCCATACCTTAGATATCTCCTGTTTCACTGCAACAGTGGGGATACAACTCAGATCACTTTGCATATAGTGGCCATTAATATTATGGAGACTATTGAGGTTCTAAGTGCAATACCAGTTGCACACATGTGCCTTATTTACTTCCAGGGCTGTGTTCTGGGTGTGACTCCAAAGTCACTCTGCTGATCACACAATAAAACGTATTGCAGCAAAAAGGCACAGACAATTTGAAAGAAAAACCCTTTTCATTAAAGCATATGACAAATTAAACATCTTCTGTGTAGTTTTTTCAAACTTTCTCGACAGTGCACAACCACACAAAACACATGCAAAGATAAATTATTTACAGCAAGGAAAATATGTAACATAGTATTGTGATTGAGGTACTAGAGACTCTAATGGATGTCTTAATTTAAAAACATCCCTTGACCAATTAGGGGGAACTTTTGTGATAATAACCTTTTGTATTCACTCTCTTTATCTCTCCTTTACAAGCCATTAATGGGTATGTCAGCAAAAAAAAGTAGCCCCATAAGAATCAGATTTGGAAAAGATCATCTGAGATCATTTAAGTTCATGTACCATTAGTGTGGAATTGTTCTCTATAGCATAGTTAAAGAAGCTTTATTCAGCCTAATTTTAGGTAACTCAAGCACAGAATTATTTTCCTGTTTCTTCCCATGCCTCATCCCTAACTAGCTGAATGGTTTAAAAAGAAATAAAAACATTATTTCATTTTATTTCTATTGTTTTTGTTTTTCTATAACCTATCACCTAGGATGACCTGTAGCTTCTTTCTTTTATGTGTATTTATTTAAATGACTTTTCAACTATATTGTTGCAATTAGGGACCAGAAAGCTAGAGATTAGGGTATGGAGTTTTGTTTTCCTGTTGATACTAGAAAATTTAATCAAAATTCTATTTACATATATACATATATATACACACACAACAGACACACACCTCTTTTTGATCTGCTCTGCTGGTAAGATCATGGAGTTCAGGCCCTATTTCTATTTTAAAATCTGAAGTAATTATAAATTATCAAATGTATATTCATGAGATTATTGTTGTTTATTCTTTCATCTAGCTTCTGAGAAATACTCAATGACTAATATGAATGTTGCGTGAGAGCAGATAGTCCAAGAAGTATTTTCTGACCTTAAAACCATAGGTTTTCACAGCAGACAGAGATGTGAATTCAGATTATAAAATACCTCCAGCTTGTGCAAGTCACTTTGCACAATAGTCAGTGGGAAAAATGTAAGAAAAGCAAGAAAAAGCTTTTTGTTAGCTCCTGTTCTGCACTGCCCAATAGTAGAACATCTCTTTCCAAGCTATCCCCAAGAGACTATCATGAGATAAGCAGATACATATTCATAGTTCTGCTAATTATAGCAATAATAAAAGTCTCTGATCCATTCTCTTTACTCTGTGTTTAAACCCACTGATATTATTAATTTATTTTCATTTCATTTTTTTTTCCTTTCTCTTTCCTAGCTGCACCTGTGAGAACCCATGAATTGATAGCCCGAAGCAATAGGAAAAGACTCTTTGAACCTCAGCTCAACTTCCTTCGGCATGGAAATAACCTTTAGCTAAACATATCTCAACTGTGTGATTATGCTATAGTTACTTATCAGGCATCAAAACCCCCTCCCTTTGCTTTAATTCATCATAGAGATACCATTGACAAGCTGCTCTCTAGCACATATCACTCGAATTTTTTATTAGCTTTTTCTAGTAATATACTGCTAGTATTTATATCTTGAAAATCGAAATACTGCAACACTCTTTTCACTAGAAAGACAGAAACTAGGAGAGATGCTTTTAATTATACACTCAAATCAGATATCTCTAGATAATACTAAAATTGAATGCACTTTGGTAGAGAACAACAGAAAATGTTAAAGCAGAACAAGAAGGAAACAGGATAACTGTATGTAAAACAGTGGATACAAGACAAGAATAGATGGGAGAGGAAAGTGCATGACATAAAAGGCAGAAAACAAATAACATAGTGGGGAAGAACAGCAAAATAGAAGGTTTAATTGTGGCCTGTTGTTCAGAGACTCTTGATCAGCATGGTTTAGCAGTTTTCATTCACAGAAATGACTGGAGGGAGACCAACATAAAGCTGGAACTCATAGACCTGATTTGGTTATGCCAATGAAAATTTGAACATATTTGTCAAGATACAATCAGGGCTTTAAAATCACAGAATGTGCTAAGGAGAGAAAGAGCTGATGAAAATATGGGAAGAAATCATTAAAAATTTGTTGGGGCTGAATTTTCTGGTGATGTTAACAAAAAACCTTCTCAGAGTTAGTAAGATTCTGGCCACATTTATTAACATAATTTCCCTGCAATGTCTATAGTATTGCAAATCTGATTAACATAGTGCTCAGCATGAAAAGATATTGGGGAAATTCAATCATTAAATAGGAAATAGATGACAGGAATTTAGGCCAGTCCTGTTCCTCCTCTGATAGAAATCCCTTTTTTTAATTGACTTTTATTTAGGAAATTTTTAATCTAAGACTGTATCTTCATGCCCAGGTTCAGCTTTATGTCTAATATCTGTGACCTTTATTCTGGATGTGCACCATGGGGTCACCTCAGACTTTCCTAAGATGCCTGTTGGATGAAATCAGCTGTAGTAAACACATTATCACTTCATGAATCATGTCTGTGTCCAAACTGCCTCTTGTTAACAGAGACCATCCGTAAGTGCTTTGGTCGCTTGATCTTGATGATTTGGTCTAGGAATTAGTGAGGAGAAAGATTCTCTGTTCCATAGGAAAAAGATGGTTGAAATGACTCTCAAGGTTTCAAGCTTTCTGGAAAACAACAACAACAACAACAACAACAACAAAAACCAAACCAAACCAAACCAAAAACAAACAAAAAACCAAAAAACCAAAAAACCAACCAACCAACCAAAAAAAACACGGAAAAAAAAAAACAAACAAAAAACCCCAAAAAAAACCCACAAAAAAACCCCCAACCAAACAAGGAAGATATCCATCCTGGGTATCCCAAATTTGTGTCAACATTTCATATTTTCATGAAACCCGACTTCAAATAACTCACCTACATTTTCTCCCAAACTTTTTTATCTAACACCCTTCCCTCCTCTTGGTGAATAAGACAACTGGTAATGACTTTATTTATCCATTTTAAATAACATAGTACTGGTGGACATTTTTGTATGGGAATCTGCATTTCTTCTGTAACTTTTGCGTAAGAGACAGCAAAGCTCATGCTTGTCATCCTTGGGTTAAAAAGCACATGATTATATGGCATGTGGCAGGGGCATAGTGATCTGTGATACAGAGAGCACAAACACAAACAGATAATCACATTTCCTGTAGATGTGGCAGCTCCTGAGCTAATAGCAATGCTATTGCCTAAATATGTTACTCGTTTAAGCTAATTAGTCCTGGAGATAAAATGGAGGGAATTACCACACCTAGCAATGTTAATGGGAGAAATAAAACTCCTGTAACAACTCCAGTTTCCTTATGTGTATTTGCCTGTATTTATATTGGCTATATACCAGCTAACATGCCTGTAATGTTTGTAGAACACATCTTTGAGTTCTACCTTGTTTATACAGTGTGATAAATCCATGCTAAATCTGAGAGATAACTCTACAATACAATTTAACAAGCCTTCATTTTTTTTTAGATTTGATTTAAAAATCATCTGCCGGTTGTTTTTTTTTTCTCCATGTGATTTAGCAACGAAACCTCCATATTATTCTTGGCAATCCTTCCAATTACGTTGCATAAGTGATTATTTTATGCTACTACTTTCTGCTTGTGCCAGCAACCTGCCAGGCAATGTTTGGTCAGAGAGTAGGTTGTTTCATACTGCAGCACCAGCAAAGTCGAGGGGATTTTTCTGGGAAGATTGACGATATAGCAGAGCTCACTCTGAAAGTGAAAAAAGCACTCATGGGTAAAATAAAACATCACTGAAGTTTCAGGTTAACAGTTAATGATCACACAGTTCTTTGCAGGCAATTACTACAGTCTTTTCAAAGGCCCTTTTGTGGCTGCTGAAGGGATCCTTGGAGTTTCCTGTACTACTGATACCATTTTACTAAAGCATCCGTTTGCTTGAGTCTGAAAATGCAAAGTTTAACATTCTCCTTTGGTATTGTGTCATGTAATAGTCTCCCTCTCAGTCAGTCAGCTGAATGTGACTTTTTTTTTTTGCAATGCAGGGGAGCAATGTCTGGGAATGCTGATAAAACCTCTGAGCACTGAAACTGGTATCTGAACAAATTTAAAATGTATGTTTAAAATGTATCTACCCCTGGTGGTCATGATGAAAAAATAACTTAATTATTTTCATTATTTTGGGGTTTTGTAGTTATGCATGGCTTCATAGTAAGCAGAGAATTCTTTAGGAAATGACACTAAGACAACACATAACAAAGACCAGTCCTGCATTAAAGACATCCAATAGAAATACATGCAATAAAAAATAGCTGGTAGTTGTTTCTGTACATGTACTGAGACCCAAAATGAACAAATAACTTTCCTAATGTGACAAGAAGTCTTTAGCTATGTTCATTGTGCATCATATCCTTTCACATGATCCATGCAAATTGGAGAAACACAACCGATGGTAATC